TATATGTAAGACATTATAGTGAGATTTGTAAAATATGTGCAAGTTTAAGAGCAATATTGCAACTAAGACATTAGATTTTCTCAAACATGACTTGACTCTCTCAAGACTTCAATTGTTTTCTTTACATCACGAGTTCTTTATGGGGCATATCAAATTCTTTATTCTTTATATTCTCCCTAGTACATTGATTTTTTTTGTTATCTATTTTTTTTAGTTGACTAGTATCCAATCACATAATCAATGTGACACTTCTTGGAAAATAGTTGAATGGTTATGTAGTATAAGGGTATAATTGCTATTGTACTTTTCAGGAGTATAGTTTTACCAACATGTGATAAATAGTGATTCTTCCACCCTTGCAACAAAGACTTCACCTTTTTAATAATTTGGTTCCCTTCCTCTTTCCTAATAATTTTAATTAAGCAAATAACAACCCCCCTCTATGGGACTTATTCCTTAATAACGTAAACGTCCATGGGCCCATGCATGCCTACATAAATCTTCAGGCCCATCAAGAAAACCTAACCATTCGGGTTCTCCTAATCCTATCTCAAGATAACAAACTGGGATAATCTTAATCCTACCTCCAAATAAGAATTGTCCTAGATAAACCTAAACTAATCCAGATAAGCTTTATCTCTTATCCTTGTACAATCCCATTGTAACTATAAATAGGGTTGATTCGACCCTAGTACATACAAGTTAATCAAATCATTTTCTCAATATCTTTAATATTTGATTTATGTTTTTCTGTTTTAACTTGGTATCATAGCCATATCGATAGAGACAGGCGCACATGGTAGCAGCCCAACAACATCCAACAATGGCTCAACATCAAGTAGTGCGCTCCCTTCAATCCAGAACGTCACTCATTATCTTCTTATCAAATTAGGAAGCGACAACTACCTATTGTGGTGTGCTCAGTTCCTTCCCATCCTTCGACACCACCATCTACTGGAACTCGTAGAAGATAAGAAGAAGCCACCACCTGAAGTTATACCCAATCCAAACGGTACAAGGATGATTGCGAACCTTGAATTCAAAAAATGGACAAACATCGATCAGCTTGTGTTGAGTTGGTTGATTTCCTCTCTCACTAAAGGAGTTATGGCGCAAGTGGTAGGTCTGTTGACATCATCTGAGATATGGACTTCCCTTGCTCACAGTTATTCTACACACTCCCGATCCAGGGTACTACAGTTGTGAAGACAATTACAAAATCTTAAAAAAGGGTCTCTTTCTATTTCTGCCTATATACAACGAGCAAAATCCATTGCTAGACTTAGACAATCGACTATATGATATTACCAACCTTAGTAAACTTTAGCCAGTGACAAAGAGTCAGGAAACCGATTCCTTAGGCTTCTATACTTAGAAAATTCACATTTTAGCTCAAATAAAGTCTAGGGAAAGCTTAACCACCTAAAAATAAGTTAACCATTGGTCTCCAAGGTCTTGGTAATGCTGAGGTCAATCACAATTAAGTCCAATGTTATGCATCTTGCTTATGATTACAATTAATCCTTTAATTCTTATTCTTCTTTCTTATGTTGTCATGGTGGCACTTCTTGCTCATCTATCTTTAGAGAGTGTTTAGTCCATTAATCTATCTTTGAGTTCAATTGAGGATTCTTTTGTTATAGTTGCACACTTATCTTTCCACATTTTTAGTGATCTTAGTGTTTTTGTTATCATTAAATCACACAAGGTCAACAAATATGTTCTTCCAAGTTTGCTTTACGCTACGTTTGTTTGAGGTGTAAAAGAGAACCGAGTGAAATTTTACATCCTGGTCCAATTTTATAAGTGTTTGGTAGAGGTGTTAATATGCCCCGTAAATCGATGTAAAAGTCCATTATTGTCAGTATTTACATTGAAAATCAGTGAATTATCGATGTAAATTATCCCTTCTTCTCCGTCAAGTGGTCTCCTCTCTATATGAACAAGTTTCGCTCCTCTTTGTCCTACAACGGTCACCTTTGACCAACAACCAAAAGAAACACATGCCGATGATGGCTTCCAATGAAGTTGATGGAATGTTTGGTTCATTTCACCCACACATATTCTCAACCTTGGTTGAGAGAGCGCGAGAGAGAAAAGAAGAGATAATACATCTCAATCTCAAATCTATCTACAACCATGTTGCTACTCGTCAAGAAGACCTCCTCTAATTGTCAATACAAGGTCAAGGGAGTTCGACTCTCTCAACCATTCTTAGCCTTTTAAGGGAGCCAAGATCACCGGCTCGCTCCACATGATGATCCAGACTATGATTTTGATTAAAACCCTAACTGCCCTTGGTGTTGAGATTCGTGGGTGGTCCTGCAACATTTTCTCCACTCAGGACCACACCACTATTGCCATCATTCGCGACAACGCTTCAATATTCGAGTGGAAGGGGGAAATCCTTTAGGAGTATTGGTGTTGTATCGAGAAGGAACTCAACTGGGTCCTGGTGGTGGTCTTGATCTCATCATCAATGACGGTGGTGATGATACATTGCTCATCCATGAGGTTGTGAAGGAAGAGGAAGAGTACATCAAGACCGGAAAGTTGCTAGGTTCATCATCATCAAACAATGCCAAGTTCCAAATTGTGCTCACAATAATCAGGGATGGGTTGAAGATGGATTTGATGAAGTATCACAAGATGAAAAATAAATTGGCTGGTGTTTCTAAAGGGACAACCACCGGTGTCAAGAGGCTTTACTAGATCAACGATAAAGAGAGTTTCAGAGCAGAGGAGTGCGAAACCTTTCACTTTTACACTGGAACAACCAAACAACATGAGAGAAAATTTTCAAAACACCTCATTTCAATTTTCCATCAATCACTAAACTGGGTCCAAAATTTCCATTGGTGTAAATTTGAATTTTCACCTCAAACAAACACAACCTTTAGGGGAAATGCCCTTATATAGAACACGAAAAATGTAGTAGCCATTCATACTTTACGATTACCTAAGTGGTGTCACTATTTAGTAACATATATGCACTTTCTTTACAAAGGCTTATAAAACATCCATCTCCACTCAATTGTGCAAACATTCTCCATTGCCCAACATTTATTACTATTAGCTTAGTATATTGAGGCTTCCCATAGCATTGGTAATTGACATTCTTACCCCCACCGTGATATACTCTATCTAGGGGTGACCAAAAAAAAAAACCCGAATTGACCGAAACCGGACCAAAAATTTGGTTAACCGAATCGGTTGGTTCGGTTTCAGTTCGGTGTTTTAAAAAATTGAAGGTATCGGTTCGGTTTCGATTAACCAATATAAAAAATCGACAGTTAATCAAATCAACCGGTATACATGTTTTTCTATATATTTTTTATGTATTTATATATATTATATATATTATAAATTAATAAGTATGCATTATATATAAATATATATATATATATATATACTTATAATATTATATATTATTATATATATTTTTATAATAAATATTATAAAAACTAAAAACCAAAAAATTGACGAACCAAACCAATGCTTAACCGAACCAGTCAACCTATTGGTTTCGATTCAATTCCGATTTCCGGTTTTCTACTACTGGTTCGGTTCACAAAAAAGACACCCCTAAGTCTCTATCCATCTCCACTTCAGTCGATGCAAGAGTTTCTTAATTCAAGTTAGAAGATTTATATCCTTTAATAACAAATCAAGTCTAATTTTAATTTTCTAATTCAGATAAAAAGCCCAACATAAAGGCTCTTAGTATATTACATTAGTCTGGGTGATATTCCTTTATATAAAATTAGTAAAAACATATTTTATACACGTGTACAAATTTTATATAAAAATAAAGATATAACCTATAATTAACTTTTAGGTCCTGCCCCCAAACCAAGAGATATATCCATTTTATTTTATAATAGTATAGATGCTTATTTAATTTCTAATCAAATAGATGTAAGAAGGGGCAAATTATGAAACTTAAGAAACAAATTATGCACGAAATAAACATAGAAAGGGTCAAATAATAAAAACTAAGCTCATTACGCAGCAACACCAAATGACCAAATAGATGGTGTATTTTCATGAAGGAGGCCAATAAAATCATCAACTTGGCATTGGGCGGTGGTAGACCTGTTTATGTGCTGGGCCGGGCTTTTACTATGTATTAACAAATTTTTTTAAGGCTCGAGCCCGAGCCTGACCCGATCATCGGGCCTATAATTTGGGCCCGAGCCTAGCTCTCATAAAAAGTCCGAAGCCCGAGCCTGGGCCCGGGTCCGAAATTTAGCCTATACTATTATTATTATTAATGTTGAAACAGCTGAATAGAGAGAGAGATTGAAATTATAAAGAAAAGAATAATATATATATATTAAATTATAAATATATATTTTAATAAATATTATATTATTTATATATTTTATATAATATTATATATTTTATAAAATATATAATATTGAGTCGGGCCGGGCCGGGCTCGGGCCGGGCTTTTTTGACAAATCCCGAGCCCGGCCCGAAACACAGTCGGATTTACTGTGTTAAGCCTGAGGTCAGGCCCGCGGGCCTAATTATATGACCAAGCCCGGCCGAGGTGCAGGCCGGGCCGTCGGGCTACTCGGCCCATGAACAGGTCTAGGCGGTAGATACCTTATTATAAAACAAAATTTTGATAAAGAATATGTAACTTTTAAATCGCTATTCAGCATATATTTTTTATCAAACTGTCGCTATGAATCTATGATGTTGTTTAAAGCAATGTTGCTGCCAACCCATGCCAATCGAACAAGAATCCGATAGATTCGAATTCAATTCATTTATCCCAATTCTATTTGTAATTAACATAAATTCATAAAATAAAAATAAATTTAAATAAATCCCAAATACAGGGTAATTGTAAAGATTTTCAGCACTGAAATTCGAACCGAATTAATCCAGTCCATTTGCAGTCCAATTAATATGTCATTCAACAATTAATGACTAGAAGATAAAAACAAGTCATTCAATTCAGCCGTTTCAGCTGACAGCCCTCCTTGCCAATTGCTCTAGCCTATATAGCATAAGCATTCGGATTCCCTTGTTGCTGAGGCTTGAGAGTTTTGTCGAGAATCTATGCGCCCTAATTTGTCTCTCCCGTTTGGGAGGGCTGAAGTGCAGCGGCGGCTTCCGGTTTTCCGAGGTAGGCCAGTCTCTGCGATGAAAAATCCGAGAGCCAAAACCGGCTGAGTTGCTCAATGTTTTGGGCTGTCCGCTTTGGTTCAGCCTCTTTAGAATTTAGATAGCTTATCCGGAGCGCCTCATGGCAGCTGAATCAGCTTAATCTTGTAGCAGTCGCAGTAGCATCCTAGTCCTAGGATGCCAGTGCCGGAAACTTTCGCAACTGCCCTGGGCTTCTTGTCCTGTCTGCGAGGCCTGAGCTAATCGAAACGTTTTCCTTTTTGCAATTTCCCGCGTACACGAGAGGTCCGGGGGTAGGAGTGGAGTTGGAGCCATCACTGCTGATGAGAAGAAAGAGAGTGAGAGGAAAGATCACTTCTCTTTGCCATGAAATTCAGAAACCCAATTTTGCGTCTTTTCAGCACCTCTTCATCGAGTCCACCAACACATCAATCCTCCAACAATCTGGTCGCCGTCGAATCCGCAAAGAAGCTCCACGCACATCTCATCAGAAAAGGAGCCCACACTGATCCGACCGCAATAGCCGACGTCCTCCGCTCATACGCTCTCTCGACCACGAAACCTCACAAAATCCTTTCTCTCTTCGACCATATCGAGCGTCCCACAATCTTTGTTTGGAACTGGACCATCAAGGGTTTGTCCCTAGGCGAACGACCTAGTGAAGCAATCTCTGTGTATAACCGAATGCGGCATTGCGGTGTTTGTGCGAATAAACTGACGTTCATATTCGTTCTCAAGGCCTGCGCTCGGGTACCCGATATCGTGCATGGCTGGAAGGTCCACGTGCATTGTATGAAACTTGGGTTTGAGTCCTACCTCTTTGTGTCGAACAGCTTGATTAGTATGTATGGTTCGTGTGGTGAAGTGGGGTTTGCACAAAAAATGTTTGATGGGATGCATTTCAGGGATTTGGTTTCTTGGAACTCTTTGATTTGTGGCTATAGTCAGGTGAATAAATTTAGGGAGGTTTTGGGTCTTTTCAGTGCAATGAAAGTGGAGAAGGTTAAGGCCGATGCAGTGACAATGGTTAAGGTTGTTTTGGCTTGTAGCCATTTGAATGATCAGGAATTTGTGGATCATGTGGTTAATTATATTGAGGAGAATGGTGTCAAGATGGACGTCTTCTTGGCAAACACTCTGATAGATTTGTATGGGAGGTGTGGCTCTGTGGGATTAGCTCGGAATGTGTTTGATCATATGGACGAGAGAAATTTGGTCTCTTGGAATGCCATGATAGAGGGGTACGTGAAAGCAGGGGATTTGGTTGCTGCACAGGAGCTTTTTGAAAGCATGCCATTACGAGATGTGATCTCTTGGTCATCCATGATTAGAGGTTACTCTCAGACTAAACAATTTTCTAATGCATTGACGCTTTTTCGTGAAATGATGACAGCTAAAGTAAAGCCAGATGAAATTACACTAACTAGTGTTCTTCCTGCTTGTGGCCATTTGGGTAGTCTTGATGTTGGAAAGGCAATTCATGAGTATATCCACGAGCACAAGATAAAACAGGACATTCATGTGGGAAACTCTCTTATAGATATGTATTGCAAATGTGGCTGCATTGAGAAGGCATTGGAAGTATTTCGAGAGATGAAGAGCAAGGATACTGTATCCTGGACCTCTATCATATCAGGACTCGCTGTGAATGGTTATGCCATTTATGCCCTGAAGTTCTTCTCACAAATGTTAAGTGGAGGTGTTCCACCAAGTCATGTGACCTTCATAGGGGTGTTGCAGGCCTGTACCCACACAGGATTGGTGGATGAAGGATTTGGTTATTTTGTAAGTATGACCAAAATTCATGGAATAGAGCCGAGGATGAAGCATTTTGGCTGTATGGTAGATCTCCTAAGCCGTTCTGGCAATTTAGACAGGGCATATGAATTTATTAAGAAAATGCCAGTGGCACCAGATGCTACTGTGTGGAGGATACTGCTGAGTGCTTGTAAGCTTCATGGAAATATTGCTATGGCCGAAATTGCCATGGACAAGCTTCTTGAGTCAGATCCAAGCAATAGTGGCAACTATGTGTTATTGTCCAACACCTATGCAGGGGCAGATAGATGGGATGAGGCAATGAATGTGAGAGAATTGATGAAAGAGTGTGATGTGCAGAAGCCACCTGGATGTAGCTCCATTGAAGTTAATAATGGAAAACATGAGCCCCTAACTCCAGATAAGCTACATTTTCTGAGCAAGGAGCAGGTTCTGACAGGATAATCTTCTAGAGGTTTTACTCAAATACTGTTTATGGATATGAAACCAATCAAGAGCTGGTTCACATCCAACTGCTAGAAAGAGGTTTCATGTAAGCAGAGCGCTAAGCATTGTAAGTTCTCATGATAGTTGTATTTAAAACTCAATATCTGCCCCTTTTAGAACAAGCCTGCCATAGATGAATTTTCTTCTTCTTTTTCTTGATCAGTAACTTTGTGCTTGTTTTAGGGAACTGGACCCTCGGAAAAGGCACTTTCTTAATTCAGAACAAGGCAGGTCAACCAGGAACTAGAGTTTTGCAAATCTGCAATGAAATTTTTGCAGTTCTGAGTCCCAATTTACTGGGCATACTTTTTAACATGATGAACTGCTGAAAACGGTTGAGGTTCAAGCATGCTAAATAGGAATTGGAGTTCTTGTTGAAGGAGTTCTAGGGATCCTTAAATACTGGAGGACAATGCAATTTTGTATATGTTTATTTTGTACTTGTTAGGTACAATTTTATGTTTTTTTTTTTTAAATTCCTCCATTTCCTCTCAGTGGGGAAAGTTATAGTTTACCCTTTGGTAATTTTTATCGGAATAAGAGATTTGTACTTGCTAGTTCATGGAATTTTTTCCTTTCAGTTAAAAAATAGTTGATGATTCCTTTATTTTCTCTCCATTCTCAATCCTATGCATCAGTTGCATTTCATTCTCACTTAATGATAAAAGTCTATAGCTTAGAATAAAATCTATCGCCACATTTTTGATAGAATATCATTATTAAAATTGGTTTTTAGCTACGGACAAAAAGCAGTGGCTAAATACTATTTATAGCAATGAAATTTATTGTCCATGGCTATATGCTCATTTCCTAGCTACGGTTGCATGCACTTCTTCCCAAAATTTTGGCCTACGTTCTCTCTCTCTCTTTCTCTCTCGTTTGCTTGGTTTCTCCCTTCCACCATTCTCCTCTGTTTCCTTCCTCCTACCTCTCTCTTGCTCTGGCTTCTTTTCTCCTACCTCTATTTTGATTAACAGGCATTGGGGTTTGCACGGAAACGGTATGCAGAGCAAGCGTTAATGAAGAATGTGTAAGTTAATCTAACTTCCTAGAGTAAACTTCTGTTATTTCATTTTCTTATACTTCACCTATTACTTGAAGTGCATTGGTGTTACTTTCTTACTGTGCATCATAAAAAGTAATTTAATGCTTGAAAAGAAGTGGGATTTATCTTAGCCTCTTAGATCTTTCAGATTTTTGAAATGGATATTCATCTAATTGATTCATACATAAAAAGAGAAAAAGGAACTAGAAATGGGTTTAATTTCAGTTGGATTTCTTGATCAGACAATGCGTTAACTTTTCAGGTGATTAGAAAATAATAAAAATTTACCATGGTGGATAAGCAAATAATAATTTTCCTAGATGATGTTAGAAGATTTACCAAAGTGTGATTAGAAGGTGCCCTATGAAGATGCACCAGGATGTGTTCTGTTAGGTCAATCCAGATGAAACCAAAACAAATAATTTAAAATCAAAAGATATTAAAATAAAACTGATAACTTGATATATGCTGGCCAATGTCCTTACAATGTGCATGACTGAGAAAATGTAGAAATTGGTTGAGCAACTAAGCGCCAATGTTTTTGGATTGTATTTTCCTCAATATTTTTCTTAGTATCTACTTTCTTCATTTACTTCAATTATGGTATAGATGTACTGTTCTATATAGATGAAGATTTAAGATTATGGTTTTTGTTTATATGTTTATATATTTTGGGTATGATCCATGGAGTGCCATCTCATGATTTTTTTGGATTACTAACAAGATCAAAAGAACATTATTAGTAACTGAACAATGCTATAAAAAGAATTATCTAGAGAACCACATAGGAGCTACAAGCAAAGCTCTCCAAGAGAAAAGCCAAACCAATATAATTATAGCCAACCTCTGGATCCATCTGAACAAGATGGTCACATTTTTTTTTGATTGGAAACGTTAACAAGATGTTCACATTTGATGTCAAGTCAAAGTTCTGGCCTCTCTCATAGAATGTCTGAATCTCCATGTGCCCTCACATACATCTCTAAGCCAACTTATTACCACCTTTGAGAGTCTCCATCCACCTCATCATGCTGAAACACTTCATAAGCTAGAGGCATCATCACTCACCAATGACTTTATCTATGCTCAGACAGATACAACAAAATGCATTGGGCCTAAAATTAGCCAACAGGATCATTCTTAAAGACTGTTGAAAATTCCTACCTTTGAAGGACTAGGATTTTGTTAGGAGTATTTAAGTTTAGTTTCACAACTTGAGGGGGAAGCATCCGAACTTGGTGAGCATATGCCTGGCCGAAGATTGGTATACTAAGTGGGTCGATTTCTAGATCATGTCATCTATATGGAAGTCTTTAAAACTCTTCTCTAGTGCTCAGATGATAAGAAACTCAAATGCTGATGATATCCACCTGCTCTTTGGTCAATTGTTCCTTCTCTCAAAATATTCTAATGTTTGTCTCCCTCCTTTTTTGCAGTAGTAATACAATCGGATAATCCAAACAAATAAAGCCAAAGCAGTGTCTTAATCAAGTGCAGAAAATAGCAATCAGTCTGGCAGTTGAGCATATTTCTACATTTAGCCTATACTAGGATTTGATTTGAGTCATGCATTGAGATCAAATGTGGTTGGGGAGGATTCCACTACAGACTACAGGCTTGGGTGGGGATTTGCATGGTTATAGGTACACCTGTTCATGGGTCGGGTAGCCCGATGGGCCAGCCTGTCTCAACCCATTATTGGTTGAGCTTGGACAAGATTTTAGGCCCGCAGGCTCAGGCTTGGGCCCAAAACACTAGGCCTGACTTTTTTTGGGTCGGGCTCAAGCTTTCTCAAAGAAGCCCAACCCAAGCCCGAGCCTGACTTGATAATGGTTTTTTTTTTGAAAGGTAAGGTAATTTTATTGAAACAGAGAAAAAAGTACAACATGGCCTTCACCAACAGAGGGCTGGATCAGAAATACAACAGAACACAAACACCACAGAGACTCACTCAAATTACAGACTCCAAATGGACTGAGAACTGAGCAGCTGAGGCACATTCAGGTGCTTAAATTCAGGATTAGCAGCCACCCAAGAGATCAGCTTACTCACAGCCCTTTGCACTAACTCATTTGTACTTTTAAACTTGTTACAAAAGGCTCTATTGTTTCTTTCAGACCAAGTAGACCAGAGACCAGCCGCTGGGACAGTGTTCCACACCAACATTCCTTTCTTCTTAAGACCCCCCACCTTCCAGCAACACAATAAGTCTTTAACTGTACTTGGCATAACCCAGCTGAAACCCATAGCTCTCAGAAAGTTCTCCCACACCCGAGAGGAGATTGGACAGTGAAGACAAAGATGATCTGTAGATTCCAGATTAGATCTTGAAAGAGATATCCAGAAGCTGGACACCTCTTCTTTCCAGATTAGATCTAGAAAGACACTTATCTAGAGCCATTGTCCAAACCAGAAAGTTAGATTTTGAAGGACTGATTGGATTCCATATCTGACTGAAAGGGAAGCTTGTAGAACCTGAACGGCTAAGTTTGAGGGCCAAAGACTTGACTGGGAAGCAGCCATCACCATTCCACTTCCAGTTCCACTCGTCCTCCAGGTTAGTATTTATCCCCTGTCCCTGTAAGAGCTCCAGCAACTCCACAATTTCATCCTGCTCCTAGTCAAACAGGTTCCTTCTAAATTGAGGGGTCCAGGTCAGCCCATTTTCAGAGACATTATAAGAGTCAGCCACTGAAACATCACGACTAGCAGCACAATGGAACAAGAGGGGGAAAGCCTCAGCCAAGGGACCCTCCAAGCACCAAGGGTCCTTCCAAAAATTGATTGTCACCTTTACCCACTTTGAAACTTACTTCATCCAAAACATTAGGCATATTTTTCATTATGCCTTTCCACAAGGAGCATCCCCAACTTGAAGGGGGATCACAAGATCTCCAATTACCCCCCTCCAGCCAAAAGATTTCTCCACCAAGCTGTTCTTTCTGAGGCAAATCTCCAGATCCATTTACTGAGAAGGGCAGAATTGAACAATTTTAGCTTCCTAATACCCAATCCACCTTCCTCAATGGGGAGGCATACTTGATCCCAATTGACTAGATGAATTTTCTTCTCTTCATCCCAACCTCTCCACAGAAAATTTCTCTGCAAATGTTCCAGTCTTTTTGCTGTTTTAGATGGGGTGGAAAAAGAGACATAAAATATGTTGGGAGATTGGAGTGTGTGCTTTTAATTAGTGTCACTCTTCCCCCAGCTGAAAGATATTTCGCTTTCCAAGAGGACAGCTTTTTCTCCATCCTTTCAATGATTGGAACCCAAATAGAAGAGGAGGAACATTTTGCCCCAAGAGGTAAGCCCAAGTATTTAACAAGGAGGAAGTCAATCTGGAAAGCCAACATCCTAGCACACTCTTCCAAATTAGATACTTGGCCCACCAGAATAATCAGACTTTTACTCAAATTTACTTTTAGCCTAGATACCACTTCAAACCAACTCAGAATCCCCAGAAAAAATTCCACCTGATCAAGGGAGTCATCCACAAAACAAAGAGTATCATCCACAAATTGAAGGATGTTCACCTTTTCCTTCCCAGGAGCAAGCGCAAAGCCTTCCCATAAACCAGAAAGAGCAGCCCTCTTACTAAATAGAGAAAGAATTTCCATAATACAGATGAATAATAGGGGAGAGAGGGGTCTCCCTGTCTTAAACCCCTAGAACTTTCAAAGAAACCTGCAGACTGCCTATTTATCAGCACCGAGAATTTAGGGGAAGAGATGCAAACCTTGACCCAATTCCTCCACTTTTGACCAAAGTTCATTTTCTCAAGTACGAAACCCAAACACCTCCAATTTACATGATCATAAGCTTTCTCTTATCTCTAGCTTACACACCAAACCAGGAATTCCCTCTCTCTTCCTAGAGTCAGTAAGCTCATTAGCTATTAGAACAGAATCAAGCATTTGCCTCCCCGGAACAAAGGCAAACTGTTTATCAGAGACCATGCTGCCTATCACCCCTTTCAACCTTTCAGCCAACACTTTCGCCAAGACCTTATAGAAGCTGTTCAGGAGACTTATAGGCCTGAAATCTTTGATATTAACAGCCCCTTCAATTTTTGGGATAAGAGTGATTAAGGTGGTATTCAAACTTCTTTGCAAGAATGCATTGGAATGGAAAGACTGAAAAACATTTACTAAGTCTTGTTTTATAAAATCCCAGCAGTTCACATAGAAGAGATTGGTTAAACCATCCGGCCCAGGGGACTTGTCCCCTTCCATCTTAAAGATTTCAGCCTTGATCTCCTCCTCCGAGAAATGTCTCTCAAGGAGCAATTTCTGATCCTCATTTAACTGCTTGAAAGGTAAATCTACTGGAAGAGGTCTAAAGGCTCAACTTTCCTTGTAAAGATTCTTATAAAAGGAGGTGGCAATCAGCTTGATTTCAGCAGCTGAATCCCCCATTTTACCTTCCCATTCCAACCTGCTAATTGAAGAGGCTCTACTCCTAGCATTTGCCACCTTGTGGAAAAATGTGTATTTCTGTCCCCTTCTTTCAGCCAAGTGGTTTTAGCTCTCTGCCTCCATTTAATCTCCTCCTTGACTGCCAACTTGTTATACAAAATTTTTGCCTGAGATCTTTTCAGCTTTAGATCATCCGATAAAGGGTCTAATTCTTCCGCTCTGTCAATGTCTTCAATTACACTTAGAAAGGCTCTTTTCTCTGTTTTCGAAGTCAAGCTATTTTCTAGCTTCCAGAGTTTTGCTTTTCTTGATTGCTCTCAACTTCTTCTTCAAGATAAAAGAGCTGGTTCCCTCCACATGGAAATTACACCACATTGCCTTCAATAAGGGGATAAAATTGTCTTCTTCAAACCAAGCATTCTCAAGCTTAAAAGGAGCCTTTACTTTCTCCCGATTGCCATATACAAGTTGAATGGGAGCATGATTAGAAACTGGCCTGGGAAGAGAAATCTGCCTGAAATCAGGGAAGACATCCCAATTAGCGGAAACAAGGAATCTGTCTAATCTTACCAAAGTAGGAGAATCCTGGTTATTAGTCCAGGTATAATGGGCCCCCTACAAGGGGAAGATCAGAAAGATCAAAAGTATTGATGAAGTCTGCAAACAATCTCATAGATCTTGTTCTTCTGCCTCTGGAATTTTTTCTTCCATTGATAAAGTAACGTTGAAATCACCACCTACATGGACAGGCTTGAGAGCCTTGCAAATCTACCAGATCCTCCTAGAAGGCATTCTGCAAGCTTGAGTCTGTAGGACCATAAACATTCGTTACTTGGACAATATTCCCATCGACAAGCTCCAACAACAGGGATCCCACATACTCACCAAACCTCCAGCACTGCCAATAGCCAGTTTTGCTCTCCATCGAACATGACCTTCTCTCCAAACACTACGAGTAATAGAAGCATCAAACACTTCCAATTTTTTTTCCTGCAACAGAATGATTTTTGAACGAGAATGCTTAAGAACATCACACACCACCGATCTTCTCCTCCCCGAACCTAACTCTCTGACATTCCACAATAAAAATTTTAACTCCATTTCACTAATGACGCACAAAAAGAAATCTGGCCTACTCCTAACAACTTCTTCGATCCCCTCACCATTCCCTCACTACTCCCTGCCTTATCATTCAAACCCCAAATGAGTCTCATTATCTCTCAATTCTTTTTTTAAGAAGTCTCCCCTTTCCTGACTGCTAATTTCCCTCTCCTCATCAATGTTTTTTGTTCAACCCCTTACAAATATTTAATTGTCTCCTCTTCCAACCCCTCCCCTTTCCGGACTACTAATTTCCCTCTCTCCATCAATATTTTTTGTTCAACCCCTTCCAAATATTTAATTGTCTCCTCTTCCAACCCCTCCATCGACACCCTTAGAAACTTTCCCAAGCTCAACAACTTTGAGGAAACCCAGGAAGGAGACGAAGAAGAAAGCTTATTTGGCTTACCTCCCTGATCCACCAAAGCAACAGACTTGCCTTTGCTGTTTGATTGCTGATTGGTCTTGCCAGAGGGTGAGGTCGCTTCAGCTCTTGGCCCTGAAAGAACAGGCGAGCTATTCTCTTGCTGTGTATCGATCTGAACGACTCCTACTACGTTGCCTACCACTGCAATAGGCAATATCTCCAACGGAACTTCCTCCAACTGCATCAAAGGGTATTGTTGGATCTCCATCTACGAGGGGTCCCGAGCCAGAGCTGTCGACGAAAGGGTAGGGGGAGGGGGAGGGGGCTGGACTAAGCTTCTGTTATGGTGGCCCCTTTCCTCTGTCGCCAACCTAGGAGTCACAGACTCTCGAGTTGGCTCAAGGCACGGATCCTCGGTTTACTCTGAGGTTTGGCTGAGCCAGGCCGGTCCCAAATGGACCGGGTTGTTGACAACCGATCTGCACAAGAGAGTTCCGGGCTCACTAGCAGCTTTTTGAAGTTGCCTAGACCTCTGAATTGGAATCAGGTTGGACTGCTCCACTTAGCAAGGCTCCATTTATGTTCAATGGAAAACCTATTCTCTTGTTATTGTCTTGATGAAAGTCTTCGAGTTTATACACTTTTTTTTTATTTCCTTTAGGGTTAATTGTTTTTGGGTTTACTGTACTAAGGAATGTTCCTTGTTCTCTTTCTTTCTATGCTTTGACTCTTCTTGATTCCTTATCTCTTATTTGGTTTTGGTGATGCATGTGATGACTAAAACATGTTTCCAATAAATTATCACGTTTCCCACATCTTGAACTTCACTAATCTTTCTTGTTTTTGGTACTTGCAGCTTCATTTTATCTGGCATTTTTCAATTAATTATCACCCAGTGAAGAGAGGATCTAAACATCACATTTCTGTCTGTGAAGGGTACACCACTAGGTAAGGGAAGTCAAGTCTAGCCATCTGCAGTCAGGCTATTGGTTTCAGAGCAAACTGAGACCAAAAGGCCTTTATACCAACCCAGCCCCACCAATAATAGTTTCCCTCTATACCAATATGTAATGCTAAAATCAGCATGATCATATGCAGTTGGTTGCATCACCTGTTTGGTCAAATTTAGTACAAAGTCCACAGGGCACAGGTTGGATGGTTGGGTTCTTTATATGTTGGATGCTTCTGGCCTCCTCACATTCTTTCTGCTTACTTTTGGTGAAAATCATTTGATACTATGAATGCCAAAACTTTATATGTAATTAAAAAAGGAATTTGTATAGGTCGTCACCAGGGTTAAATGCCCCTGGGGATAAGGAACAACGTGGTGATGATGATGACCATGATGATAAAGGCTGCGATGACAAAGAGGAGAATGATAAAAGTAATCAATATGAAGATGGTGAGTTTCAAGATCTCATCGGAGATTCATAATTGAAATTAGCTCACTTTTTTGAGAGGATGGCCATGTCTTAAAGATGTAAAAGTTAGCTCACTTTTATGTCTTAAGGATGTAGTCAGATTTGAAGTTCATTTGTAACTTAACCTTTTCTCACTTTAAATTGTATTATATGTTTAATTTAATAATATATTATTGTAGGTATCCATGTAATTCCTGATAGAAGTTCGTGGAGAGAGAATTCTAACAATCTAACCATATTTTAACTTGTATACTTATCTTCTGTGACTCTGTCTTGCACTTTTTCTACATATTTTGCCTTTCTCCATCAAATGTTAATTTTTGTTATCCCTAACACTTTATGACAACATCCTAATGAAGAAAACCTATCGTCTCCCATTATAACAGTTCATTTTCAATATAGCACTTGCCCTGCATAGTAGTGCCTTGCATGCAGGTTTTACTTTGATACCAAAACTGCAATATGGGGATCATCAACACCTATCTTGATGCCTAGAGGCCATTAATGGTTTTTAACTTCTTTACGACTCTTGATCATGCATGACAATGTCAATTACAGAAGGGTATTTTAAGAGATTTTGCAAATAGGGGGGAAAGTTTTAGTCCATTTCCTAAAACTTAGGGATAGTTTAAGAAATTTTGTTTTTATTTGAGTTTTTGGTAGAAAATTATTGTTTTTAAGTCCACCCCACTGCTTTTTTTTTGTGTCTTCCATCTCCAACCATCGAGAAACACAGTAGGGAAGAAACCATGGGACCAACTTATTAATCACTGCATGTGGTAAGGCAAAACCTTATAAAATCTCTTAAACTATAACAGTAATGACACGTGGTATCCCTATTGTTAGTTATTATTTTGCCACATCTTTAAGTTTTTTGACAATTTTTATTGTCGTTAAATTGGGATAAAAAATTGAATTTACGTTTTTACCCTTCTGTTAACTCTCACTCAGGTTTGCCGTTGCTGTAAAACCTTTCCTGGCCTTCTCGTCTGCATCTTCTCCCACTTTGCTCGAGGCCAATGGCTATCTCTTTTACCTGGGCTTCATCAAAGTCGCCTATGCTGCCAAAGCATAGGAGCACCACCGACGACGGAGGCTGGTAGTCGAGCCATTTCATGATCTCGCTGTATTGGGTGTGGGTGTGGGTGTGGGTGCGGTCGGATAACGAGTGCGACAGACCCTCGAGTTGAAGCAACGGCCCAATCGAGTAGATCGCTGGTGTTTGACCATCAGACAGCGAGTTAACGGCATGGGATTCAAACTCTGCAAATGTGTTAATTATGATGCCCTTCGCCTCCTTGAACCTGCGACTGTGATAGACCAACTATGTATAGCCATCTTCCTTCCTGTTCCACAAGGGCTTAGGCAAGGAGAACGGAGGAACTGGGTTGACAAAGGTTGGGAATTTTAACTCAGTCTCCGCGTCCTTTAATTCGGTGCCAGTGGGAATCTGAGTATTGAGTGTTGGAAGTGGAGCATAAGACTGAGCAGCCCTGCAGTAGAAATGAAGAACAAGTACGAAGGGATTCCGAACTCATTTGCTACATCGATCATGGAGGTGCAGAAGAGATCAATCACCATCCCAGCGACTCGAACCGTGTCAGCACCAGAACCGGGTGACATAAGGTGGGTGAGAGCGTGCCTAACGTGTGGTTTGTAACTTTCAACGAAGAGAGATATGAACCCTTCTGGACCATTATAAACTTCTGACGACGGGGGATCCACATGAGGCAGACCAATGAAATGGATGCTAGGGTTGGAGGCAGCAAGGGATTCAACGTAAGGGTCAACACCGGAAAAAAATGGTGGCTTCATACACAGGACGGTGATGGAGAGGCAATCATCTTGATGGATAAGTCGCTTTGCGAGCTCAACCGTCGAGAACAGGTGACCAAACTCCATATACCGGAACGAACACGACCTCCATTTTCTCCATCGCTTCTCTCTCTTCTTGTTTTTCAATCCGTTGTAGTCGCAGCTCCTTATACCTTTTTATCTTCCACAAACATAAGAAGGAATCACGACAACCTTTGCCAATGGGTTTGATTGGTCAATTACATGAGAAATTGTACTTGCACACTTGTTTGGAAAAATTATTTTTTTCTTATAAAACCCAATTTTAAATTTGTCCGAGATTGGAAAATAATAAGTTTTGTTTTCAGTATTTTAATAGGAATTGATTTACACTCCTTAGAAAATGGTAGAGGAGAGTCTGGAGGTTTGATACCGTGCATGCGAGTATGTGTGAGAGGCGTGCACTCGCGTGGCTCGCGAAGGACGGCTTTGGTTTTGGTGAGATGCTGACAGTCACGATTCGATCAGGTGTGATCAAGAGGCACAATTCAAAGTTAACAGTCATTAATTGTTAACTACCTTTTAAACATTATGATTGTTCAAGGTGTCTTTTCTGAACCAACACCTACATTTTCTTCATACCTCTTCATAAACTATTTAAGGAGCATGAATCAGACTTCTAAAACATGTACTTTCGAAATTCACTCACTCTCTCTCTCTCTCTCTCTCTCTCTGGTCTGCTACAGTTTCACAGAAGGTTTCTTTGAAAACTCTTCAACTTTGCTGGTTGTAGATTCTCGCCCAAGGGTCTGTTGTATCCTAAGAACATATTTGCCTGTAACCCAACAACAAACTCAGTGAAACTGAGTGGGGGCAAGTAATGTTCTAAAGACAGTGTCTTCAAACGTGCCTCAGAACTTCTCCTCCAAAGTTTCGGTGACCCCATTTTCCAACAACCTTTAACCAGGTAGATTGGTTGTTGTGATTCAGTAAATGGGAGTTTAACCAGGTAGACTGTTTGACTGTTGGATCTCAGCTAGATCTAACATTTGAAAAAGCTTTTCTCCTTGTTTTCGATCGCTCCCAAATGGGAGTCTACTGGGCACAACCAACTCGGAACACCACGACCACAACCATAAGAACAAATGGCGAGAGTCATCGAAAACAATAGGTTTCTTCTCTTCTATCACAGTAGAGGCTTCGCTAGTCCACATTTGCCCTGTCGTCAGTTAGGAGGCCATCCTGAGAAGAGCGCCAGAGAAGAGTGGTGGTTGCAGCGGTTCTGAAGAGAACGAGAGGGGAGCCTACCTCTGCAGTTTTGGAGAAGAGCATCAATTTCGAAGAAAAGCGCCGGAGAAGAGCGGCGGTTCTGAGAGATCTACAGTTTTGGCCTTGCTGGTGCCATGGTGATGATCTGAGTGTGCATTCCTTGAGAAGAAAAGGAGAGCAGTGATTCTTGAGAAGAGTGTAAGAGAAAGTGGTGGTTGCAGTGGTTTCAAAGAGAACGAGAGGGGTGCTGACCTCTGCAGTTCTAGAGAAGAGCGACGATTTTGGAGGAGAAGAGCGATGACACCACGACTATCGTAAAAGGGTAGTTTAGGAATTATGGACAAAATTATCAATCACGTGATATCACATGCAAATGAGACCGACGATCGAATAACAACAGAGGAGGATTTAGACAATTGTTAGAAAACTTAAAAGTACCGCAAGACAATAGCTAAACAGTAAGGATAGTTTAAGAGATTTACCCAAGACTTAAAGCCTTCCTCATCAAAATAATTCTGTTGAACCAATTGCTCCATGAATTCAATCCTTTCAGGCCAAGGATGAATGGATTCAATTTCTTTATTGAACATATTATCTTTTTATTGACCTCCACTTCATTTCTGAAGCTTGGTTCGATTCAACAACACTTGAGTCCCTTAACCTCGAAGTCTCCACTTCGGATTTCTTTCACTTCTCTTGATGCGAGATTCCTTTGCAAAGTCTCCTCTTTGTTGCTTATCTCATTCTCAATGGCATCTATTTGGTCAAATACTAAGCACATACGATCTAAAAGGCTTGTTTTGGATTCAAGAGCTTGGGGCTCTGTTTCTATTTGCAAGAGAGAGGATTGAGCAATTGAGAAAGGCACACCCTGCCAGAACAAGAGAACCGGAAAAAGGCCTATTTGTCCTGATAAGAGAGCTAATTCCTACACTAGGGTTTTTGGAAGATAAATTCCGAATTCGAAGGATATCAGAAGAGAAAAAAAAAGTGTGGTATCACATGCGGATGATTCATGGATCACATGGGTCCCAATTAGACCTATTCATGGGCCGGGTAGCCCAATGGCCCAGCTTGCACCCCGGTTGGACTTGAACATGTAGTTAGGCCCGTGGGCCCAAAACACCAAGCCCGGTTGTGTTTCGGGCTGCGCTCGGGATTTGTGGCCTGAGCCCAACCCAGTCCGACTAACTTATATAATATGAAATATATAATATTTATTATAATATGCATATATATTAATAATTTAATATATAATTTTTATTTTTTTCTTTATAATCTCTCTTTCTCTCTCTCTCTCTCTCTCTCTCTCTCTTTCTCTTTGTTCAGCTGCTTTAGCAATATCAGCGGCATGAACTTTAGACTGAGCTCGGGCCCAGGCTTGGGCTTCAGGATTTTTATGAGGGCTGGGCTTGGGCCCAAGTTGTAGGCCCGATGGTTGGGCCGGGCTTGGGTTCGGGCCTTAAAAAAATTTGTTAATTAAGAGTGAAAGTCTGACCTGGCCCAGCCCGTGAACAACTCTAGTCCCAACTCATAGTCTAGTGGTTAGAAAAGGCATGGCATGTATTTGAAAATTTGAAGAATAATGAAAGATAAAAAAGATATTTCAATATTTTTGTTAATATTTAGTAATGATGTCAATTGTCAGAAACCCTAGGAATACAGAAATGGTAGATAGACATATATGTTCCTTCCTTTTCCCTACCTTTTTCATCCTTCCCCCACCTTTTCTTTCAAACCAAACACAACTTAAGCCATTTTGCAAATGGTAAGGGAAATTTTAGTCATTCCAAAAACTTTGGAGTAGTTAAAAGATTTATAAGAAAACAATAAATAAAATCCTTTATTAGTTAAATTTGATAGTGTTAAATTGCATCTTTACCTTTACTTGCATGAACATGTGTTTATCATGTGCCTCACACTAGCTTTTAAAAATTGAAAAAAAGTAAAGTAATGAGGATTATCTCCACTCCCATTACTTTTTTCTTGTGCACACAAATAAAAAAGGTTAATTACTTAAAATACTCCTGAACTATCTGATAAATTCTTAAAGACTCCTGAAATTTAAAAACCTACTTAAAGTTTTAGAATATGCCACTCTTTTACCTTTAACTATTATTCAATATTTTAAAATATGCCACTATTTTACATTTTTGCTACTTAGTGTTCCACCTAAAAATTTTATTTCTTAATTTCCATCGTCTTTGACACCTCAATTTAATGATGTTTTCTGATCTTGGATTTATTCTTCTCTATTTTTGTAACCGAATCAAATCACCACTAGTAGTGAACATACAATATTTTGTGATTGGCCTTCAAAAGCTAAAAGACTTCATTCAAAGGAGCCCCCTCTCCCTTAGACCTGTTTATGGACCGGGCTCGAGTCGGGCTTTTACTCATCATTAATGGAAATACACTAGGCCCGAGTCCGAGGCTGGCCCGACCAGCGAGCTTATAACTTGGACTCGAGCCTGGCCCTGATAAAAAGCCCGAAGCCCGACCTAATAAAAAAATTATAATTTTCCCTATTCAAATTAGAATTAAAAATTAAGATGTTTTTTTTTTTCATATTTAAATGAACAATGGGCTTACAAGATGGTTTTTTTTTCCTTTTCTTTTATGTTTTAAAATACAGTTTTACATTCTTAAATAAAAAAAATTATTCAAATGGACATAATCACATAACTCATTTTAAGTCTAATTTTAGGTTGGGCCAGGCCGGGCTATTTTGACAAAACCCAAGCTCGGCTCGAATTTATTGCGGGCCGGGCTTTTTGGCTCGAGTTTAAGCCCGCGGGCCTATAAACATGTTCAAGCCCGTCTAGGGGCCAGGCTGGCCCATCGGGCCACCTGGCCCATGAACAAGTCTACTCTCCCCCATAGGACTGACATTGTTCTTTTTACATCATTAATGAAATTTAGGGGTTTTTATTGTTCAGTTCACCCTTAAAAATTTGATACCAAATTTACGGGCAAGATGTGGTTTATAGGAGGATTACTAATAGACTAGGAGGGGGCTGCAAAAAAGATTTCTGAAAAGAATTACAATCCAAAAATCCCTAAATTTTAACAGTAACGCCCCTCCATTAAGAGTAAATTTTGGGATTAATAAAAGTGAATCTTTAAAAAAAGAAAAAATTGTGGAGAGGCTTTGACCTCTCGATACCCATAGCCAAAAATTCATTAAATTATCAACCAAAAAAATTGACAAAGGAAATCAGAAAATGTTTACCAACATTCCCAACAGTATACAGCGATGGGAAGATAATCAGAAAAGGCATCAATACATGACATCAGGTGGAAGACATGTTGTCAAGAGCCGTGTAATTTATTGGGATCCCATTTTTTTGCTCTGTCACTCGGCTGCTTATTCACGGTCAACATTTGAGAATTGGAATTAGGACTGCAAATAGATCAGATCAAATCGAATATAGATATGTCCGAAATTGATTTATTAACAATCGAATCTGAATCGGATCATATCAGTCGAATATCTAGAGGGTTCTTCGGATTATAATTGGATATTAAATATTATTAATAAGATGAACTAAAAATGACTTTAATAATATATTTTATGAACAAAATGATTTGAAAATTACTTGTACAAAACTTGAACATATGACAATTTAACAAAATACAATATTAAGACCAACTTCAATAATATATATAATATACATTTTAAGTATAAATAGGGGTAGATCCATATTTGATCCAATTATAAATGAATTTAATTCAGATGAGGCTTAATAGGATTGAATTTGAATTCAAAACCAGATAATCGAATACTGTTTGCAGCCGTAATTGGAATCCGAGGCCTTAACCCTATTGGAGTGCATAGTTTGTAGTGTTGCTTCATTCACCCCAAAAAGAAAGTCGTTTTTGTTGGATAGCATTAAGAGCTGAAGCATCCTCCTGATGTAAAGTCCTGAAAATGAGCTTACATGATCTTGCGCTTCTTCACTTCAATCAAAGCCATGAATAGCCTCATAAACTCAGGCATAGTCTCCGCGTGTTGCGTCTGTAGCCTTCAACTTATTTCCAAGCAGCGAATATATACTCGCTCAAGCTGATTTTTTTTTTCTTCTAATTGTTGTAGGTATCGATTTCGAATTGAGATTTTCTGTCAATAAAATGCATTTCAACCTTCTACTAATTTGATCTAATACTGCATATCTCATTTTGAGATTGGAATCCAGTGACCTATTATAAAAGTGAGACCCGCTATGTATGAGATATGCAATATAAAATCATATTAGTAGAGGGTTGGAACGTRTTTTGTTGACAGGTGAGCGAATTCATTGATTTTCTTAAAAACTAATATCATTGACATTAATGTTTCCTTGAAGATGAATTATCAATGGTCATTAGCATTGTTATTGAATTCCTTGAGCTGAAACCTGAAGAAGCATGAACTCATCCTAAATATCTGTAGTCTTTTCATATGACATAGATGCCATAGCGTCCTTGAGCGAGGAGAATCTCCCTTTTGCCAACAAGCTACAAGGATTTTTAGGGCCTGTTTGGTTTGAGCGTATGGTTGGAATTGGAATCACATATTCCGATATTCCTGATGCTTATTTGGTTTAGATGGAAATTGGAATCAAATTCCATTGCTTGGTTCATTTGGAGTTGGAATTAGAATCAAATGAAAATTTTCATTGTTTTATTAGTCTACTTCTTATTTTATTATTACTTATTAATATTTTATGAATAATTTGTGATTATTATTTTATTGGTATTTAATAATTAATATCTTAGTATTTATCATTAATTTATGAATATTTTATTAATAGATTGTTTTATTAATAATAATAATAATAATAATATTTTATCATTATTATTATTATATTTTATAATTATTTTACTAATGTTCTATTATTTTAAAATTATATTATTATTATTTAATAATTAACATGTCAATATTTTATTATTACTTTAATTATATTATATTAATATTTATTTGCACTTAATTATTATTATTATTATGATTATCATTTAATAAATAACATCTTTACTTTTTATTTTGAATTTATTAATATTTTATTATAATACTATTTAATTATTAATATATTCTTATTTTGTATTATCTTATTATTATTACTTTCATAATATTTTATTATTCAATTATTAATGTTTATTGTTATTTCATGAATTGTTTATTAATATTATATTATTATTATTATTTAATTATTATATTTAATAATTAATATCTTTATTTGTTATTGTTAATTTAATAATATTTTATTATTTTATTAATATTAAGATTTGAGGATTTTTTGTTATGAATTCTTTATTTCTTGACACAGTGGAATGGAAATCTCATTCCCGGAAGTGTTCCTAGAATGGCCATTTCCCGATGCGGGAGAATCCCCATTCCGCCGAGAACGAAAATCAGAATTTTATTCCTGTAATCGGAATGGGCCATCTAATTCAGTAATTCCGATTCGAGGCACCTATTGCAGCCAACCAAACGGACTTTTAGTTCGTTATTGAATCGAATTTGGATCGGTCTATATCCGATTCGATTTCATGCATTTGCAGCCCTACCGTCTTTTCTCACCAATCGACTAAGGTATGTTCTGTTCTCTCTCTCTCTCCCCCCTCGCTCTCTCTCTGATATTCTCTTCTCCTGGTAATCCCTCTCCTAGTTGCTTCGCATGTCTCTAATCGTACCATGCTTTTGTTTCTGCCTTCAAGATTTTTCTCTTGGTCCCATTGAACAGTGAAATCATACTCTTCGATTTCTATCACTGTCGAGTGACGAGCTCCATGTCCGGTGAGTTTGCCTGTCTGTCTGTCTCTTTCTCATGCCTTTTTGTATGCAAACAGAATAACGATCGTTTGAGTTTACACTTCACTTTGCGATAGTTTCTTTGATCAAAGCAACTAGCATTAATAGCATACATATGTAACTAGCTAGAGTGCTTTACTAGGAACTACCATATCTGGTATCTATGTTTTCGATCTCTTCCAAACCCATTGGATACCATACGGTGTTATAATTGATTAGACTTCAATACAAATTTGTATTGTCAAAAATAATAGAATAAATCCATTTCAACACAATCCTAATCTTTTATTGTAGTCTTCCTATTTGATGAATTTTATTGCGTATGATTATACATATATTTTCAGATTATTTAAATAAATGGTGAGGAAAAAAGAATAATAGGGTTATGTTCCCCTTGTTGTGCATGACAATTAAAAGCTAAAAAGGGGAATATATTTGGCTTCATAGTCATGTTATCCAGAAAAGTTAAGATTTAAAGATTGATCATATAGGCCTGGGCAACCAGGAGTTGAAGAAAACTGAACTATATTAGATAAAGGAGATCCATGAATTTTTATTTCATGCAGTGTTTCTTATCTTGATTTATTTGTTTCCTGGCTGCATTATTTGTTTTATTTTTGTGTTTTTCAATTTCATTTTGGCATTTATAATTATAGACAATTTCATCTGGACCGCAAATTGGCAACAGTGTGGAATTCAATTTTTTTACCAGCAATAACAATCAAAAGCATTTTGTTTGGTGTAGGAAAGTAAATTAACCACTACTACTTGTAGTAAAAGTTCCAACCTCTGATTCATCTTCATTAATGGCGGATTCTGGTGAACCTCAACAATCTGAACCAGGTAAGGTCCTTCTCTGTAAAAACTTTTGTTTTTTTAATGGTTTGTAATTTTCTCACTCTTTCCATGTAGCTGATGATGGGTTTTTGTTGCCTTCTCCAGTATGCAATTTCTTCAGGAAGCCATCAAAGAATAAGAACATCAGAAAGCGAACAATTGAAGAAGATGATGAAGACCAGGAAGATACTTCCTCAGTGATCAATAAACCAAAGAAGGTCACAAAGCCTGATAACAAGCTCCACTTCTCGACTGGATCATCCACATGGCATGCACATGGAGAATCAAGCAAAGAAGATAACCCGGTTTTCCATTTTGAGTCTTCAAAAGAAATTCAGGTTCAGCATGATAGCAGGGCAACTGCTACGTTGGAAACTGAAACTGATTTCTCAAAAGATGCCCGTGCAATCCGAGAGAGAGCTCTTAAGCAAGCAGAAGAAGCTTTGAAGGGGAAGGCTAAAAGTGGAGATGAGAAAGTATATAAAGGGATTCATGGGTATACTGATTACAAGGCTGGGTTCAGAAGAGAGCAAACAGTTGCTTCTGAGAAAGCTGGCGGTGCCCATGGCCCTCTTAGGGCATCTGCTCATATTAGGGTGTCAGCAAGATTTGACTACCAGCCAGATATCTGCAAGGATTACAAGGAAACTGGCTATTGTGGATTTGGAGATGCATGCAAGTTTATGCATGATAGAGGGGATTATAAGTCTGGATGGCAGTTGGAGAGAGAATGGGAAGAAGCAGAGAAGGTAAGGAAGAGAAATTTGGCTCTGGGAGGAGATGGTGAAGATGAGGATGCAGGAGGGGATAGGAGTGAGGAGGATGAGGATGATTCATTGCCATTTGCGTGTTTCATTTGTAGACAGCCATTTGTAGATCCTGTGGTTACCAAATGCAAACATTATTTCTGTGAGCATTGTGCTTTGAAGGCAAGTGCCATTCTCCATGTTTCCTTATGACTTTTTTGTTAAGTCATTCCATGGTTTTGATTGTTAGTTTATCTTGGTTGTTCCCATTAGGCAACATGTAGCTTAAGTAATTAAATTATCAACCTAAGCAATAGTTGTTATCACAACCCAATATACTTTACCTTTCTTCTTCTTCTTCTTCTTCTTCTTCTTCAAAAAAAAGATCGAATCCTGTCCCAACTATAGGAATCACGCTTAGTGCTCAACTCAACTCAACTAAGCATTGTCCCAATTATATTGGGTGGCTACATGAATCCTGATTGAAGATGGCAAGCTAAATTTCTTTCTTTCTTTCTTGATTTTTTCTCTTGGAGGGAGGAGGGATGGATTGGTGGTAAGTGACATCCTTAATGGAATGAGAGAAACAACTTACATGGTAAAAGGATTGCTGATAAAAGATTTTTTTAAGGATAAAAAGTACAGCAGAAGGTGATAAGAAATCACCAATAGCCTGAAAACCCACTCAAGAGACCCAATAAGACCCAATACAAATGTAACTTGCATCCATGAAACATGTCCAAACACCCAAAAGAAAAACGAAAACGCAGACCCAAACAACCCCAAAAACAAGAGTCACAAGCCCGACACTAAACAAAACAAATCTCCCTTTCCTGAACCCCGCATCAATTTCATCTGTGAGCATATCTTCTTGGGCTGAAAAATCCTTGTCCCATGCCCCTTTCCTTTGCGAGATAGTTTTGTTTGTCTCTTTCTCTTCCTTTCTTCTTCTTTCAAATTCCTCGAACACTTTCCTAGCAAATTCCTCACCGCCCCAGAAAAAAACAGGCCCAATCTTTTTCCAATCGTGACTTCTCTATCAACTATATTCTGTAGAGTCATGCCTCTGGAATCTTTTTCAATTACATCCAAATTCTGCTGCAGCCACACCACAGTAGGGTCAGAATTGTCGCCATTCCTCTTGTCTTCCTGATGTTCCTTCAACATTGAGGTAGCCGGTGACTGGGCTGGCATATTCACCCCCCTATGGTCAGGGAGGGTAGACTTGTTACCTCTCCATCTTTTTCTTCTGTACACCCATTTGAAATTTTTTGTAGGTCCTGCACCTGCCCAATATTGTGAGATCTTGAAAAGATTTTTGTCACATGAACAATATTGTGAGATCTTGAGTTGTGCATTTTCTTATTAATTATCCCATTAGTCTGATCCCCCTTCTCTTCAAGGTTACTTCTTTGACCCAATGCAACAGCCAACTTTCCGACCTCAACCTCCTCATAATGCTGATCTTCTTCAACCTGTCCTCCACTGAGCTCATCATAACAGGGAATTTCTTTACCCTCCACCTCGCCCCAACTTCCAACCCAACACCATTACCAACGCTCCTTTCCCAATCCTTTTCCTCTCCCCCTTCCATCCTCACTGACTCAGCCGAGGCCACAACCTCTGGAAGCAGCAAAACTGGGCTTCCAGAATTGCAGCTTGTTCCTGCGAACTCTGGGGAGACACGTTTCCATCAGACATTCAGATTCCTTACTGACCAGAGAGAGGAGGCCAGTAACGCTGATCACAGAAGATGGAACGTCGTCGAGAAGCTTTCTAGGACCACTTATGATCCTCTTTTTACCACTTTTGTCAAATCTGGCTATTAGCCAAACCCACCTCTTTTCCTTTTCTTTTCTGGCCTCTACCACAGTCCTCTTTGTTGCTCCGTTTCTCTTCAGCAATGGCTTTAAAGGCCCTAAGAATCTCCTCTTCCCGTCCTTGAAACGATTTTCCTTCCTTCAAGTACTGATAAAAGATTTTCAGTACTTGAAGGGAAAAACAACCTCAATCATATTGCAAACCTTGTCTCCTTCACTCTTTTTTTTTTCTTTTCATATTTTGGGACGAGGTGTCCTTTATGAACTCGACAAATAGAACATGATAGCACTCTTCTTACATCATCCTCTCAAATGCGATTTACACATTACTGTCATGATTCTGTTGAGGGACATCCATAGCTTCTCCCAGCTACCCATCCCCAAGATCCCAATGATGGCAATATTGTAGGATATATACCGACATTAGGATTTAAATGAATTATGATCAATTGATTGTTTATTTTTTAATTTTTACTTCCAAGGCTGTGTTTGGTAAGAGTGCAAATGCATACATATATGGTTCAGGAAAATGCAAAGTTGGCTTTTTTTTCCATTTTTTAATGAAATTTTATATTTTTGTCAAATGTGTTTGGTTGTGATGGATACAAACCTGGATTCTGAAACATATTAGAAAAAAACAAATTTACTGTCATTTTCAGTATAAAAAAGGTATTCTTACTAAATTCCTGACTGAACTAGAGGACAAATTTGCTTTGCTTCAGTGTTTGCCCTCTTACCAAATGCAGTCTAACTAGGTAAATAAATGAGAAGAGAGGGATACTTACAAACACCTATTTCTTGCAAAACTTTTCTTGTTCATCTATGATGTTAATATTGGTTTGTGAAAATGTGAGCTTATTTGCATCCTCTCTTTTAGTTCAAAAATCTGATATCCATTTCTTTTGATCTACAGCATCATTCAAAGAATAAGAAGTGCTTTGTGTGCAACGAGCCTACACTTGGGATCTTCAATACTGCACATGAGATCCGGAAAAAGATGGAGAGTGGTGGAAAATAATGAATCTGTCAGTTCCCTTCTCTTTGGCATTTGTAATTTTCTTGATATATCCTTTACTCTTACTGTACATCTGTACACAATGAGAAAGTGTACCATTGAATTTTTCTCTGTTTGTTTTTTTGACCTACAAGCTTTTGTGGCAAACATAAGTTGTCTAACCTTGTCTTAATGTTGGAAACCTGTTAATGCTGTTTTTGGAGCTCAAGCATGAGATTTTATTTTGATTGGTAACAGAGTAATTTTATTTGGTTTTATTGATAGGTAACAAATGAAGTTAATTTATTTATGTATTGATAATTGTTGATCATGAGATCTCTTTTAGGTGATTTAGCACCACTAACCATTTGAGCGATAGGAAATTGCTAGTTTGATTTATTTTGTTTTTATTCTCTTGGGGGAGGGGAGAGGTTTGACAAAATACATGTAGTACAGGATTGGTTGCAATTAAAATATTCGCATGAGAACAACACGCCTTCATCTTTGGGAGTTCCAACCCCATTACCATCGGTTTCCATTTCTGTACATTGGAGATCTTTAGGATTTGTTTCATTTACCAAATGCAAAACACCAGTATGCCCCACAGGAATGCTCTCCTCTTCCATTGTCCCCCACCAATGACTATTACTCCAAAATCAATGTTTTAGAACCCAGCAAAGTAGCCCAACTGCTCAACTTTTGCAAATCGAACAAGGAAATTCTTCATGGGCAACTACACCATTCCCCTTGAACAAAAGAATAAAATCTCCCTCCTTTTGATTCTCAATTATCTATAGAACGAAATACCTAATGCAGAGAAGAAAGTTTGAACCTTAGGCTAATTTACCACCACTTAGACATGATTAGTGAACAAGGAATGTAGCAGAAACCCAGGTTCTTCTAGCACAAAACAAGACCAGTAATAGGCTGAATGTACTGCTATTTTTTGAACTAATAAAACTACTCTCATTTATCAAAAAAAAAAAAGAAGACCAGTAATAGATGAACTTGACGTTCAAACTCAACTCCACAATATGGGGATAAAGAGGAAGATTCAATTCTTACATGCACAAAACTCAATTCCCCTCTCCCCTCTTATGATTCAGTTCTCTAAAATAACCAACCAGAACACATAAGAAACAACAGTAATCCCCTCTTTACCAGTCCGAGAAACCCGATTCCACGATACCCAGCCACTGTCAAAAAAAAGAGAAACAAAAGATAACCCCTAAGCCATCGGTTTCAATAGTTAAAGCCCTAAAATCTCACCATGATCAAATCCAAAGAAATGCCCTGGTTCAACGAAGAAGGGAGGAAAGAGCTGGTAGTCTTGACTCTGAACCCCCAGAATTGAGATTGAAAAGGGTATCTTTTTTTCTCCTTTTATATACCAGAAGGGTTGAAAATTTAGAAATTAAAGAAAATGAAAATGAGAGTCACAGGCAGACTACAATACACCACAAAAAAATGCCTTCACCTTTAATGGGTCCCACCCCAAGTCTTGCAGACCCACCACAATGATTATACACCATCTTCCCCTTGCCCTTCCTTTCTCTACGATTCCTCCATTTTCTCCCCTCAAGCCAGTCCCATGACTCCCATCTTCTGCGTGTGGAGTTAAGCACTGCTCTGTTAACCCCTTACTTGGCTAATTGATCAGCCAAACTGTTGGCTGACCTTGGGGTCCAATGGAAAACTAGCTGCATATCCTGTGCAATTCTCCTAAGCTTTTGACTTCATTCCTGAAGCACTAGGGAATCTTTTCATTTTGGTTTAGCCATCTCAGGATTACTTTTGAATTCCCTTCAACTATCAGCTTCCTCACCCCTAATTCCCCAGCTTTTTGTATCCCATACAGTACTGCCTTTAACTCGCTGTCGTTGAGTCCCCTACCCCAATAGGCCCTTAAAAAAAGCCCAATACTACTCCATTTTCATTCCTTATAACCCCTCCTATTCCAGATGGACCCAGATTTCCAAAGCTACTACCATCAAAGTTGAGTTTCAAGAAGCCCTTCTCAGGTGGGTCCTAGGTTCTAAACATTTTCTTTTTTGAAGATGAAGAAGCTGCAACTGTCCAATCAGCCTTGCTTTGTACCTCTTCACTGTCCAATCAACCTAGTATTTCATCGTAAACACACACTTATGCCCCACTAGATCTTTCCCTTTGGAAGATCTACCAACTCCCAAATGTGATTTTATGAAGGGCATTGATCTCCTCCTTCATAGCATTTGTCCATTTAGGGTAAGTTAGAGCCTTTGCCACATTTTTTGGTATGAGAATACTATCAACGGCAGGTAGGGAAGCACGGTAAGAGGGAGAAATGTGGTCATAGGATACATAGTGGGTAATGGGGTTCGATAGTACATGACCCAACTCCCTTTCTTTGAGCAATTGGGAGGTCAAGGTCATCCACAAACAAAATAGGAACATGGGAATCAATAGGAACAAGGGTGCTTGGCTCATTTGGACTTACCTCTTAGGAGTTTGATGGTATCAGTTGCTCAGTATCTGGTAGCTCTACATCTTTCAAACATTGTTGTTCTCTATGGCGCTTATGTAGAAAGACACAGAAAGGATCAGAATCCGGAATAAATGGAAGAGAAACAACTTGACAGACCTGCTTCTCCTCCATACCACTCTCCCCCTAAGGAGAAGCATGTTAGAATGGTCCAAACTCAAAAAAAAAAAAAGGAAACATCCATAGAGAGAAAATACTTACGACCAATGGGATCGAAACATCGGTAACCCTTTTGAGAGGAGGGATACCCAAGGAAGATGCATGGATAGATCGAGGGTCCAACTTACCATGAGAAGGAGACAAATCATGGACAAAGCCACAACAACCAAACACTCGCATAGGGACAAAGACAAAGGAGACCGAGGGAACAATAATTGATGAGGGGCAGGTGTTGTGGATGATAGGAAATCTACAAGTGGGTACTGAACATTTATGGGTGGAAACCTAGTGATATGGAGAAGTAAGAAACAGAATGTGGTTGCAAGGTCTAGTGCCAAAGTTGAGTACATAGCTATGACACATGGGGTGGCTGAATTACTTTTGTTGAAGAACTTTCTAGGGGAGCTTGGATTCATTGTTAACATCCTTATGTCTCTCTATTGTGACAATAAGGTAGCCATAAATATTGCTAGAAATCCTGTCCTACACGACAGAACAAAGCATATTGAAGTGGACAAGCACTTCATAAGAGAGAAATTGGAAAAAGGTGAAATTTGTACTCCTTATGTCAACTCCAAGGAGCTGCTAGCTGATGTTCTCACAAAAGGACTTCCATACTTGCGGCACAATAAGTTATGTGACAAGTTGGGCGTGATAGACAAATTCAGCCCATCTTGAAGGGGAGTGTTGTTAGAGTTGCTTGTGCTATTAGGTTATTTTTTATTGTTATTCTAGGGTGCTGTCAGAATGCTTTCAACTTTTATTTATTGTTTTGTTATTAGAGTGTGCCGCTAGGGGTATAAATGTGATTTTCCTTTATTTTTAATCTTTTTATTATAAATAGAATAGTGGGTGCCTCTAGCCTAGATTTTTGTCTCCCAAATTTCCTTCTTCTCAACAACCCAAGAAAAAATATGATCTGGGTGAGAAGGTGAGATGCAAAGAGGAAACATAACTCCTATTGCCCAAAACTTGGCTTTGATACCATGTTTTCTTCTAGAGAAGAAAGAAGAGAAGGAGAAGAGAAGAAGGAAATTTAGGAGCCAAAAATTTGGGCTAGCGATGCTCATTGTTCTATTTATATTAAAAAGATTAAAAATAAGGGAAAATTACATCTATACCCTTGGTGGCACACTCTAATAACAAAACAATAAATAAAAGCTGAAAACATGCTGACAACACCCTAGAATTTTTTTTTATCAGTAACAGTGAATTTTATTAATAATAAGGAAAAGCTAAATTACAAGGTAAGGAGCTAAAAAATCTTAACCCCCATATACCCTATAAACCCGAATTCATGAAACAATTACAAGATAGCCCAAAACATTGAGTTTCTGTTCACCCCTTGCCTAGCTAGACCATTTGCCAGTGCATTAGCACTTCTCACTATCCATGTACAATGGATTTCAATATCCTTGGTGATCCACTTGAATCTCCTCTTTTCGTTGCTGTATTTCCAGAGTGTAGAACTGTCCTCTTTTAGCTAATTTACTACAATTTCAGAGTCACCTTCTATGATCAGTTTTTTACAGTTCAATTCCTTGGCCTTTTGAATCCCTTCAAGAGCTCCTAGGATCTCAGCCCTCAGAGAATCACCCACCCCAATTGGACCAGAATACATAGCTAGCAGGTTCCCATTTTCATCCCTTATTACTCCCCCAACTCCAGAGGGCCCTGGATTACCCATGCTGCTGCCATCAAAATTCAGTTTGGTAAATCCCTGAGGTGGAGGTGTCCAGTAGGAATTTGAGGTCCTCCTGATTGAGCCTAACTCCGCAATATCCTTCCACTTTCTGGCCATCTCATCAACTGAGAACACTGTAAACAGCTCCAAAGTTTTTAACTAGTGAATCACCCTAATGTGGATAGTTTCCCGAATTACTTCCAGGCTACTCTCATCGTCAGAAAATACCCTTAAATTTCTCTCCTCCCAAACAGTCCAACACATTGCAGCCCTACCACATGTCCACATGATCTTGGCCCTTTTGGTTAACCTGTTAGGCATGGAAGTAAATAAGCTTTGCACATCTGAAGGGGGAGTCCACCATCGGATTTACAAAGAACACACCAGTGAGGAGACAAGCAACTATTGGGTCTTTTTCTTTGAAGTAGATCCCCTTTATTAACTCTTTCCAGAAAGGCTTCCCAATAGAAGCACCCAACCTTTGGAGGAATAGGTCGACACCATACTTCTTTGACAGGAAAAGACATTCCAACAGGAAAAGACAACACCCTAGAATAACAACAAAAAATAACCTAACACAAGCAACTCTAACAAGTACTATGCAAGGTTTCTTATTTGTAGGCTGAGTATGAGCTAGTCCATATTGGCCCTTCTGATTCATTTGAATTTGTCATGCACCTTTAGAAGCACTTTGAAAAGAGAAAGGTGAGTTGGTTTTTGATGAGACTTAGACTAGAATATGTGTGATAATTCGTTCTAATTTTTTGTGAAAAGGTACTCTTCCAAATTTAGATTATGTGTGGGAGAATTTGTTAGGGAGGAGACTTGACTTCTTACTACAACTAGTCTTGATGGAGTTTGGGGTTGGGACCTCATTTATAGTA